CCAGCTCCGGCGAGTATACCGCAGCACCAACTGCGCCTTCCGGACTCTTCGATCCGTCCGTATAGAAGGCCTTGGCGTTCTGTCTGAACTCGAAAAACTTGTGATAAAAATCTGCAACAGTCAATATAGAATTTTCGTTCTTGTCCCTGCTCTGCATAGTATCCACATACTTGACTGTGGTAGAGAAGATCTTGTATGAGTGCCAATATGCCGGCGGGTACGTAGATCTGAAGACGGTGGATTTTTCATGACGACTAGTAACATAAGATTTGAAGAGTCTTGATTCCTTTATGGCTTTGACTTTGCTATTCCTTCTAACCGCTGTGAGTTCCATTTCCTCCAGAGAATTATAAACAATGCTGAATTTATTAGCCATGCACTTATAAATAGTCTTAGAGGCTGTAAGGTTGAATCTGATACTTAGTTCGCATTCCTTGACTTCCGCTAGGAGGATATTAATGGGTGTTGAGATTCGATATCCCATGGCTTTCCTGATTACTTTATACTGCAATCGACGGAGTTTTATATAATCGGGAGTCGATGAGCTCCAGGTGAAAAGGTGAGCGCCGTACTCCACTGCGCTGCGGAAGGTAGCTCTGTAGATCGTGAGAAGAAGCCCCGGGTGCGAACCCCATGTAACGCTCGACAGAGCAGATGCAATGGCTGAAATTTTTCTACCTTTATCGATCAAGTATTTTAAGTGTTGTTTAGGTTGTAGTCCACAAAGACACCCAGAAAGCGATGTGAATGTACTCTAGGAATTAAATTTCCATTAACTTTAAGACTCTTTGACAACTCAGAGGCCCTGCCTGGTTCAAAAAGGATCCATTTGGATTTTGGAGGTGAAATTTCCAGGTTTCTAAATTTAAGATAATTATGTATCTGATCTAGCGATTTTTGAACTGAATCAATTGCCTTGTTTAGGTCCTTATGCGTAGAAAAAAGAACCACATCATCCGCATATTGGAGGAATTGGGTATCCTGATGCAGATGCTGTCCAAGATCTCGAAGGTAAATGTTAAATAACAAGGGGCTTAATGTAGAACCCTGAGGTGTACCCTTAAGGGTAAGGACCATGAGGCTCGCCTTCAATTACAAAGGTAAGGTGTCTTATAGAAATGAGATTTTCGATGAATTTTCTAAAGAGGGCTGGGACCCCAATGGCTCTCAAGTCCTCCAGTAGGATGTATGGATCCACGTTATCAAACGCACCTGCGATGTCCAAGAAGACCGCGACCGTAATCGAATGTTTCAAAAAGCCAGTCTTTATTGAAGTGATCAAAGTAGCCGGGTTGTCATAACAGGCTCTGAAAGGTCTAAATCCCGATTGTGTCTGCGGGAGAATAGGTCTGGACTCGATGAACCAGCTCAATCTGCGACACAGGATGCGCTCCATAAGTTTACAAGCACAAGACAAAAGCGAAATTGGTCTGACCCCTTTAGAGTCGGACTTGGGGATAAGCACCACTAGAGAATCTTTCCAGGTGTTCGGGAAAGTACCTTCAGAGAAAATTTTGTTAAAAGTGATTAAAAGATGTGATTGAACTTCGCTGTGGGAGTATGGTCTTGAATATTGTAGCTAATCTGATCAAGACCAGGAACAGAATTTTTTCGAGTCGAGATCAGAGCGCATCTGAATTCTTCAGCGGTGAGTGGCTCATCGAGCCAAGTAAAGACGTGTGAACTCTGGCGGTCGTCTAGCTTCATTGTTTCCAAAGATTTAGATCTGTCGCAATAAGCAGTCGGCGGGCAGAGCTTCGAGATGATCTCTCTCGAAGCCCCACTAAGATCACCAGCCATCCCGGAGCCAGCGCTTGCGTTCCTTTTAAAGCATAATGCTTTAAAGCATTAATTAGGGACCATATTTGTTTAGAAGGAGTCCTATCATTAAAGCTGTTCACAAGCTTACGCCAACCTTCTCTTTTTTGTTCAGAAAGTTTCCTAGAACAGTCGTCGCGAGCCCTCTGAAATTCTATGAGATTTTCTTTGGAAGGGATCGAGGTGAAATTTTTTAGGGCTTTCCTTCTGGACTCAACAGCGTTTGAACACGACTCGTTCCACCATGGAGGAAGGGCTAATTTTGGAGCAGAAGTGACAATACGTGGGATTCGTTTGCCCTCTGGAAGAAAACATTTGGCAGCGTCCATAATCATTTGCAACATTTCATAAGATTCAGTCCTGTTCTTGCCCTCTAATGGAGGCACATTTTTAACTTGATTTTTCAGGTCCCGATAAAAGGAGTTGAATTGATCTTTGTTGAGAGAGATCTTATATGAAAATTTGGATTTTAAAGAGACTTGAATGCCTATGGTGGTGATGACAGGATAATGATCGCTCCCAAAAGTGTCAGATTCTACATAAGAATTGCATATTGGTGCGAGCTGTGGGGACACCAAAACCAGATCGATTACTGAAGCACTGTGGGATGAACGCAAAAAAGTGGGGGTAGTATCGTTGAGGGTGATAAGATCGTATTTCTCGATGACACGCATAAGCATCCTTCCCGCAGTTGACTGCCGTGTGCAGCCCCAAGTCTTATGGTGAGCGTTGAAATCACCTAGAAGAATATAATATTTATATTTTTGTATTTCGCCAACTAAGGAGTCGAAAAAGGCACAAGGGGTTTTTTGGCCAGGGTGCCTGTATAAATTAATGATAACTATTGAATCCGTTTTAGAATAAGGAATCCTGATAGCCATAAATTCAACTGAAGAGTGCGCAATGGACGTGAGGTTAAGAATTTCATGCTTAATATTTTCGCGGATGATGACGCAGATACCTCTATCTCCTAATTGGGTGATGTCCTTTCTGATGACTTTATAACCTTTCACACGGAAGGCATGATTTTGTTTAAGAAGAGTTTCCTGCACACAAAGAATGTCGAAGTCTCTTGCTGCTTCCATTAACGATGGGAGGTTATGTCGGATTCCCAGTGAGTTCCACTGAAAAATTTTTAGAGTTGTTTCTCCTCTTGTTAGATCCGAAATCCCTTGGACTCGGTCTCCTATTCTCTCGGAATTCCAGCGACGGCAACGCTATGATTTGATTGGAAAAAATATGCAAGTTCGTGGAGGAAGATGTGTTATTGTCAGTTGATTTATCGGATGCAAAGCTGAGTTCTTGTGAAAGATTAAAATTAGTTCCGAAACCAGCCATAGCTATATTCTGCTTCGTGCGAGGGACCCCGAGTGTCGATAGTGGATTGTGTATAATAGCTATACTGATTGTATTCTGAAGGGGGAGGAGCGTTTCTTACCCCACCGTAGGGGGAGGGGGGTAGTGAATGGGGGGGATGAAAAAGATAGTCTAATTTTTTTATGAATTTGACAACCGCGTTAAAAACTTCAGCGAAATTATTATTCTGGAAATGGGCGAAAATTTCCGAGGAATTAGCTCCGTAAAGCTAAAATTATTATTATTATCTTCATTACTAGAGCCTGATCTGCCAAATCCGTTCTGCGCAGGAGGAGTCCTTTGAAAAATTCCACCTTTGCCCGTGTTGCGGGGGGACCTACCGTTAGGTTCATATAGAAAGTTGCGGTGAGCCTCTGCGTCGTATTGAGTAGTGTTAAAAAGACTTGCTTGAGGAGGAGATTCATTCCTTTGTATGTTGCCATTAGGCCTTTGCGGAGGAATGCGAGTGCGAGGATGGGATTTCCAAGCGTTAGCGTAAGTTCCTTGTTGTTCTGCTGGTTCTTCCCTCTCTAAAGGACTAAATCTGTTATAGCTAGCAAAATAATCTTCGCTATTTTTGCTACGAGGAAGACTTGGAAAGTTATTGTCAGAGTTTGACGGAGATGTCGTGGGAAACGAGGATCTGCCATCGACTATATTTCTGGCGTCTGCGATAGAAATATTTTCTACAGCTGCTAAGCTGACTACATCACGTTGCTTGCGAATAATGGGGCAGTTACTGTCGTTAGCCCAGTGATTGCCATTGCAGTTAATGCACCTTGGGGTTTCCTCGCGCTGCTGGCAAAAATCATGTTTGTTTTCGCCGCAATACAAACATCTAGGAGCTCCCTTACATGCTGCACTCACGTGGCCTATTCTATGACATTGATTGCATACCCTTGGCCTTGGGATGAAGGGACGAACCTCGTGTCTCACCTTATAAATGAAGACTTCTTGTGGCAATAATTGTCCTGCAAATCTGATTCGGATTGTTCTGGATGGAACATACTCGACTTTGCCTTCTTTAATGACTCTTCTGTTGAGTCTCTGCACATCCAAGATTTTTGCCCTCGGCGATTGTTCTGGATGGAACATACTCGACCTTGCCTTCTTTAATGACTCTTCTGTTGAGTCTCTGCACATCCAACATTTTTGCACTCGATGCTCTCGTTGAGAATCTGTAAGTCTATTTCTTGAGGGACATCCTGCACGACTCCCGTTCTGAGGACCTTGAAAGCTGGAATGAAGGCGCGGAGATTATGTTTTGGAAAAATGTTATTCTCCACTAGCTTATTTGCAGCAGAGGCAGATTTGACGACTATTAAGATCTTTCCTCTACCTATCTTTCTAATTTCCTGGATGTCGGCTATACCAGCCTTAGCGATAATTCTGCTGACAAGTACAGAATGTAGGGGTGGCGCAGAGCCGTCCCTATTGCAAGGATATACATACACTACAAAAGGTCTCGTATCTCGTGAAGCATAGCGTAGTGGAATTCCATCACCTGTTTTTAGGTTAGAGTGCAGCGACGGGTCGTTGTTTGCAGTGCAATCCATAAGGGGTTGCGTCACTGAAACATGCGTAACGGATGCCGATGCTAATGTAAGCTGACTTGCATTTCCTTTGTATGTTGCCATTAGGCCTTTGCGGAGGAATGCGAGTGCGAGGATGGGATTTCCAAGTGTTAGCGTGAGTTCCTTGTTGTTCTGCTGGTTCTTTCCTCTCTAAAGGATTTGTTTTGTGTCTGCCACTTTTCAACTTCCATTGGCGATTCTGTCAAGATGCTCGAAGTTATCGATGCACGATTTGAGTTTTCAAGCGATAGTTCGCCCTCGATATTGTTGACCGACGTAACTGAAACATGTTGAGTTGCGTTGTTTGCAAGTTGATTCCCGCTTCCCTGCAAAGATTCTCTAAAAGATTCGAGATTGAGATTGGAATGTCGACTCAGAATGGACGGAAGAAGGGGAATCAGGAGGAAAATCAGCGTTAGTAGCGTTGGGAGGCCCTGGATCAATGTTAAGAACAGCGGGGGTAAGCGCAAAGGGCATTGTAGGCGATTTGGTTAAGCTGCCGTTATTGCCGTTATCGTCACCGCCGCCGCCGCCGCCGCCCTCCCCTCCGGAGAGCGAGGCCATGGCGACGCAGGGAAAAAGTTTTTAGTACCTGACGAAAATAAAATTGGGTTAGATGGAATGCTCAGCTCACCGCTATTTCCCACACGCTCGGACAAGAAAAACCCGGATATTAGCGCCCTGAAAAGGGCGATTGTGCTGCACTACTGCGAAAATTTTCTCTAAATCCGTTGTTCGTTAAGTTCTTAAAACCATCGCGGTCGGAAGTGCGTTATTAAAACCATCTCTTTGTGTGCATTCCAAAAATCATCTTCATTGGTATTTGTTCATAAAACCCGACAGTCACGTACATTAAAGTTAAGCCTGCGGCACACGATGCTTGTTTTCCTACTGGATTGCTAGCTGGATTAGAATCTTGCCACCGTATTGGATGTGATGCTGTCAGTGCCAGCATCGCAGGCAATACAGTGGCAAGATTCTAATCCAGCTAGCAATCCAGCAGGAAAACAAGCATCGTGTGCCGCAGGCTTTACTTAGGCCATGGCGACGCAGGGAAAAAGTTTTTAGTACCTGACGAAAATAAAATTGGGTTAGATGGAATGCTCAGCTCACCGCTATTTCCCACACGCTCGGACAAGAAAAACCCGGATATTAGCGCCCTGAAAAGGGCGATTGTGCTGTACTACTACTCTAAATCGTTTCTGTAAAAAGCGCACGACCTCGCGACTCCGCACTCTCTCTGATTCTTAGGCCGGTATTCATAGTCGGATCTTATATTTAAGACCGTCTTAAGTACAGTCTTAAGATGTCATGAACCAATCAGAAGGCCGCATTAGCGACTTAAGACATTACTTAAGACGATCTTAAAATAAGAACCGACTATGAATACTGGCCTTACACATGGCATACAAGACAGCGTTGAGTTGTCATGAACCATGAAAGTACTAGGTGATTATATCTATCATATTTTTCGGTCCTAGTGGAACTAACTCAAACTTGGATTATCGGAAGCACCCATAATACGTTCTGGAATATCAAAATACTAGAGAGACTACCTATCGTATCTAACGGAATTTCCGTGACCGTAGCGCCTGTATCTATATTTCGGTCAAATACATAATATTTTAATATTTAATTTAAAATGTCTGGATAACTTACAAATGTTTTTAATGGTACTTCATAACTCTTCATACGAAATACAAACGATTCCATGTATAAACTTTGTTGAATTTAGATCCGGTTAATTATTTCGGTCAAGTACATGGTCCAAAAAAGAATGATTAATTGTAATTAATACAATGACTCACAAACCTTTTTATTTGCACTTCAAAACTCTTCATTGGAAATACAAACGATTTAAAATAATAATTTTTACAATCCGAGGTTTTGTCCGGTCAAGTACATACGAATGGAATACTTGATTGCAGTTGGTTGGTTCTTACATTCCGACTCGGATCGAACTCTGGGTGTAAACGAGCCCATTAATAACCTCAACCTCAACCTCAACACAGCCGAATGCACTCCATGGCTGCGTTCGGGGAGCGCGCTATCAACGCTATTTGTGTCATACTATCCTTGTTTCACGTTTAATGGACGATGAAGACATGAAGATAGAATGGCTGCGTTCAGCAGAGAAAGCAGCTTTCCAACTGTTGTAAAATTCTTGAATATGATTAGTTTATACATTTAGATCCAATCAGGAACTAAGGTCAAAACCAATCATATTGAAGAATTTTACAACAGTGCAAAGCTGCTTTCTCTGCTGAACGCAGCCAATGACACAAATAGTCTCTCCTAGATCAGAGAGGCGCTAC